ACGCGATGATCTGCATTCTGATGTCAGTAAGGTAATATCTTCTTATTCGCTCACAGTTTTGTAGGTTATAAATTCATTGGTAAAGGTGGAGTATTCTCAGTGGCCCCTTCCTCAAAGGAAACCAGGTCCCTTAGTCTTGGTTGGATTTGGAGGATGCGTTGACTTGCGCGTTCTTGCATTATTACTGTTTGAGAAAATCGGACTGTCTGGATTTAAAAAAAAGTAGTTTCTATTCCTCGATCGAAAATCAATAGTATTGGAGATTTGATGCCTGAGCTTTACTCTGCATCCAACTTTGGCGTAGCTGTTGAGTAATTTAGATATTTATCATTATGTAATACTTATTTGCCCACTAAATTATGAAAGCCAGTTGCCTGAAAATTTTTTTCGTTCCATGTATTCTGGCTTCTGGTCGTTTTGCGTTTTATCAACAAATGCAACGAATTTATTTGAATCAATTCAATACATATTTCGTTATTAACTTGTGAGCAACCCTTATGTGACAGCTTATGATGCTACTCGGTTACTCAAGCCGTAGAAGAGGGGCAAATACTAAAAATGAGACATTGTACTTGAAAGCTGGAGTTTTAAACCACATCTCATAGTAACAGTAAGGGGTTGTTTGATTTTAAATCATGTCCTCTTAGCGTGTTTCGATGATCAGTGTGTTGGATGGGCTGGCTGGCTTATCATATTCAGGAAAACGCCTCATGTACTGAAGCGGATTCAGACTATTTACCCAATATAACGTGCACTTCGCTAGGGTTTGAGGATGAAGTTTTGGTCCTTATGGGGAAAAGTTTGGGGTTATATAAGTTATGGCCTTCATAGGTCTGCACGGTAGCTGTGCTTCATTTCTAATTTATGAAAAAGCAATAAAATTAACGTTATGATACGTTGTTAACTCCCATTCACCATGCAGCCTTAAAAGGATAACTCCAGTGGCACAAAATTTATATTTATGAAGAATGTGATACTGACTACCACAGTTACACGATTTGTTTGTTGAAACTGTCAACATAAAGTTGGTTTTTAGGCAAATCAAGAAGTGCCTTTCATAACCCGAGGTTCCAGTTGTGCTCATACTCTCGGTAGTCTTCCTATGAAAACCACAGAAGTTAAGTTTGACTGACATGTCAAGAATCTTAGCATTCATGGTCACTAAAAACCCAGCTAGAATTCGACAAGCAAACTCGAGCGAATCTAGTGGGTTTCAAACCTTAATGAGTGTCCACTAGACATGTCTTCATTTTTTGACCAGTTTTGGAATTTATGCTTATTTGCCTGTGACTTACACTTGTCATGTATCCTGACCTACAAAAAGCACTCGACTCCGTTGGCTATATGATGTTGTCCAACTTTTAAATGAGTACCGGTAAAATGCATAGTGCTGATCAAGACTCAACTTGAGTTATTGTTTGAAGTAACGACCGCCAGTGGTGGTCATCAAATACGTCCACTTCCATTCCTTTGTTTGACTTTATCATAAATATGCTCATGGATGTAGTCGTAGGTACCTCCGACTTCATAGACATTGAGTCATTCCCAGGCGTTTATTTGGTGAATTTATGATACTCATGTGAAAGTGTTATTGGAGAAAAAGTGATGAAAGTCTGTTTTCGGAACGAATTCAGCAAATAAACATCTGCGTGTGCTTAATGTGCTTTTTGCACCTTGCAAATGTATGACAATGTTTCAGTAGCGGTCTGCATCAACTTCTAGTCTAAGGACGGAGTAGATTCGTGGAATTCGCTCAGCGTTTCACTCAGGGAGTTGCATCAACCTGACTATTGGTTGGGACCGTGTAGGGTGAATCACTGCCATCCGTATGTATTTCTGATAAGAGCCTTTCTGCAACAAGCACAGGCAATAGTAAACCTAGTCTATTCTCAAATGTAACCTAAGGACGCCAAGTACTTATTTAAGAAGGAGTTCGCTAAGCATGTATCTGGACCTGAAAGTAATGCTCATCCTGAAGACATCAGCTTTCAGTAACACCCGACAACTATTTAGGCTTATTCAGGAAACTGGCAAGATGATGGATAGTGAAAATATAACCGAAAACGAAGGTCCGCTGACAATCTTCCGGGTTGGATGGCTAGAATGTTGGGTGGAAAGCTTTTAAGCAACACTTCAGTTACGCAACATAGCGAGTACATGAATTAGTGAGACGTGGGTGTCTATCCTCCAGCTCTCCTTGCAGTTAAGCAGGCTGTATCGGACCTGAAACAATGCAAGGCGGCAAGATCTGACAGTTTGCCACTCAAGAATGGACGTAGGAAACTGCTGATTAGATTGACAAAGGTGCTAGGTAGTGTATGGGAATCAGAAACAGTGCCGACAGACTCGTCTACTCTAATCATTCTTGTCTGTAAGAAGGGACAGGAGTCTTCCTATGACAACCATAGGAGGATAATTCTGGTGTACATAGGTGAGTCGGTTCAAGAAGTTGTGACCGGTGGGGCCAACGATGTTGGATATGAGGTCAAATACTCAAAGGCTGCATTGCATGAAGTCCGCACCATATCATGAACCGACAGAACTAGGAAGTATTAGCTATTGGATTCCGACCCAGTTGCTTGATGGTAACTTGTTGGCCATCAAACTTGAAGGTCCTAGTTTCAACCTCTGGAGGGTTAGTTCATGGGTGCCCACTGCTGAGGACTATACTAGGATGAAACAAATGTCCAGTGCCCCTAAGTTTCCAGTGTTTCTCCGACTGATGACAGTTCATGGTAAATACCAACGTGAAATCAATAGGGGAATTGGTTTGACTATTATTGTGTCCACGATCCTAGTATCCATAGTTATCCGACGGCAAACTGGAGCTGAAGAACAGCAAACTTAAAAGGAGACAGGTTTCACTCCTGAACGAGGATGCATCGACCTGATTTTCACTCTCCGACAGGTCCTAGAACACGCATCCTTACTGGTGGGTGACACGCCTTATTTCTTGACCTGAAGACGGCATTTGACTCTGCCTACCGTGAGGTATGGTGACAGTGTCTGACTATGAAGGAAATACCAAGCAAGCAAGCTTATCAAAACTTCCTACTCGAACTCACGCAGCTGTTTTAGGGCTTATGGATTGATGACAACTAGTTGTGTTCAGAAGGGATACTCACTGTCACCGTTCCTATTTGGCTTCATCATAGATGCACTAATGAACATAAGCTCACATAGGTACTTCTGACTTAACAGGGGTTTCTCTATCCCTTATAGATCATCTGGTTGATTTAGAGTACTCAGGCAATATTTTTCTGCTAGGTGAAGACTGACTGGGTGCAGGGTCTTCTAGACGCGTTGAGCCGAAATCTGAGTATGCTTGGCATGCGTTTGTGTTGTGATTCGAAAATTGCTATATGCCATGGCCGCTAAGGACTCATGAATATCGAGTGCCGCCCACCAACGTTCAACAAATTCCTAGTTGATTCCCGACCTGACTAATTAATGGAGAAGACTCGATGGACGTGTGGAAACATGTATTTGGGCTTGATAGACCGAAGACCCAAAACAAAAAAAAATATAGCTAATTTATGGGTGGGTCGCTGTTTGAAATAATCCTATTGATTGACTGATCCACCGTCTGTTTGTCTAACTATGGAAGGGATAACATGAAGTATATTTCGACCGATCGCTCTCCAGTTTAGTCATTTCTCTTTATCCCCATATCGGTTTGCACTTGTCAAATGTAAGCTGATGGTTAAGGATTGGTCTGGAACTATTCCCGGTTTAATAATAGGGAGGAAAGTGGTGGGATGCGTCGACCACTTCTCATACTTAAGAAATAACAGCCCGAACGGCCTGGTTGCTCCTGAAACTTCAGCTCCGACATAGGAGGCCCGTTTAGCATTTGCTAACCTGCGTCATCTCATTCCCCGACTGGCGGGGTATTCAACTGCCCGTTATATATATATATATATATATATATATATATATATATATATATATATATATATATATATATATATATATATATATATAGCTTGTTCGATTTGAACTTATTTTTCATCGCTTTCAGAGTTTCGAGCGTTCTTGAATGTATTGCACAGTTGTTTTGTCTGTTGTAGAGCTATCATAACTCGAAATCTCGGAAGTTTAATTAGACAGAAACGGAACTGTTGCTTGGATTGTGACAATTCAAAATTAAATCGTAAACTCGTTTTGACAAAAGCATGATTGCCGTATATGAGTAATGCACCTTTAAAGACTGCAAATGATATAAGTAGCATGATTCTGTCATAAGTTGTTGGAGACTATCTTTTATTACGTGCAACCAGTATCTATACAGTGCTCTTATTCTTCCTCTCGCTGTTCTATTATATACTCTCATCTATACACGTGTAACAAAGAGCAACGTATACAATCCCATATTTTTGAATTGTAACAGAATGTCAAGTTGTACTAAGTATTCAAGCTTTGAATAAAGCATGTGACACTGAACCTAGTCAACTTGTTGCCGGTAAAAGTGAGACTTATTGTGGTGAGTCAGTATGAGTCAGCACATTTCTAATTACCTCAGTAAAGTATAGTCGAAAAATCAATTTAGTACAACCTTTAACGAAAAAAAGCGAGACAGAGTTCATTCGAGCTCATGATAATGAAATGTGTGGTCTGGAATTGAAAACAATGTATCCACACTGATAGTAACGATTGTGCATGTCATCTAATTTATTTGAAACAACACTACAGTTTTTCACAAATGAGATCAACAGTCACTGCCTTTGCAAACTGATGCTTTTTCTTGACCAGAAAAGCATGATATTTTTCCATTTCACCCACCAAAATTTTTATATCAGTCTACATGGTAGCCAGATATATGCGATACTTATTAGATTTAAAAGTAAACAAAGTTGGTTGAACCTTTTACGTAAAACAGCTTGCTTTTCAGCATATATTTATTTCTGGTGCGTAATACCTCAACTTAATCCTCGATTCTGTGTGATCTGTGTTCCTATTGATTAAGGAGAGTGGTTTCCAATGTAACTTTCTTCAGAGAAATGGTGAATGAGGCTTCTAAGCTAGTACCTGCCTATCTGCGTGACAAATTGCTTTCTCCAATTATGACTGGACGTCATTATGATTCTAAGAGCTTTACTGACAGTGTATTCACAGAACAACCACTCGCATGGTGGAGTCTAGGCGGCAATGCTCCAGTTATGGCTAGTAGACTGACACAGGAAGGCGCACAGGTAACTTTGGCTGCTCGGTTGTCTAGGAGAGAAATTTCTCACTTACCTCCTGGAGTAAAAGGTGATACCCACATTTTCGCACCTTTTTATTCTATTTTGGTTATCATTTTCTTCATCCTTATGGCACGGAACATAGTGTATTCTTGTATTGAAAAATTAAGTTTTTAGTGTTGAAGATTAGACCCTGACATACTATTTACACCACCTACCGTCGTTAATGGGCATTTACTGAAATATTCTTCGGAATTATGAACAGATTCGGCATCATTATTATTGCAATGCCGATGTCTAAAAGTACTGAGTTACTATGGCAGTAAAGCCTTTCAAAAACTATGTTACAAACAAGTAGTAAAAATGTTTTTCTTTGTTTAACCAAGGTCAAAGATACTTTTTGTAAGTTTAACGGTAGAATTCACTGTTGCTTGTAAGGGCATTCTGTACATTAATACGTTCAGTGATTTCTACTAGGTTATATTCTTAACTGTCACTGATTCACGTTTCTCTCAGATTTAGACAAAATCAACGTACAACACTGCACAAAAGTACGTCGGCTCAAGTTGCCATACTTCACAGTAGTAGTAGAACTGGATAGAAAAAGACTAATACCGAAGTAGAAGAAGGTTGGGGAAGATGAAATTTTAAAATCAAGGTTAGTGAAAATGTTCACTGTCTCGAAAATTTCGAAGTGAATACATGCACCATCGTGATTGATTTCCAGCGATATCAGCAAGGGTCTCCAACTACTGGTTCCTATTATTACAAGGACCCCAGTCAGTAAATGTAGATCTCAGGCAAACAGTCAGTGAATTCATGGATTGGTGCCATGTCTTGATCTAGCCTTCTTCCAATCTAATCCAACTGCTAGCATTGCACGTCGAGGTATAGCGAGAACAGATTTAGAAATATTCTACCGCATTACACTCTCTAAAATCGGTATTTGATTGAAATTTATATGTTCCTTGTACTATGTCTCAAACTATAGCCGTAAGTCTGAATTCTAGCGGGTTTATTCTAAAGGTGGGATTGAAAATCCACATTGATGGTTAGCTCATTAAAAGAGAGTTCTTATTATGACCCAGAAAGTATGTTGTTTTGTTATGATCGTCGATGATACGAAGCGGTTCCCTGTCCCAGTTACTTGCAAATAATAATTAAAACAAATGACAAGCTAACCCCAACGAGTATATTCACTGCTGGGGCAATAATTAAACTAAAATAGATGATATTTGTATAATCTCTTACGGATATCATGAAACTAGTCAGTAAGCTAATTAAAAATAATATTGGTTGGTCGATGAGTAGTAGGGAAAATTTAGTTAAATAAATCTATTATGAAGAAAACGAAATAATATAACCACTTATCGTTCATTAGGTTTTCTGGGAAATAATTGAATTTCCATACAGGAACATTTGGAATTGTTCATGGATTAATACTAGCCCTTCATGCTATATCAGCTCATCTAATCTATCCCTGAATTGGAGCTGTAGTTTCCTGATCTAGACTGTCTACTTTCAACTACTACGTAACCAGTTCGAAGCCTCTCTCACCTACTTAAATTTACGTAGCCAGGTGTTGTCACTGTCCCTAATACAGTAGATGGGGCCCATTACCTATTATGTAGATGTGTACTTGGCTAATAAGTTACATTTAATGTACTTAAAATACGTCTAAACTAATTATTCTCATAAAACCTCCAATCAAGCTTGCTTTTCTTTTTTACAACAGTTATTTGTTGTGAGGCACTAAGTGAATGTTGTTCAGCTCTTTCAATAAAGGCATAAATGTATTTTTAGAACTCTACACCTATCTTTTTGTCATGATCAGACAGCAATAAGGTAAATATAGCGCACTTGTGAAATTCGTCCAAGTTGTTAGGCTCCCTATCAGCTGAGAGACAGGAAATCAAAATGAAAATTGATGCAAATGAATTCTACAAAAGCATGAAAATAGTAGCACTACTGGTGTTAATGAAGGAATGGAAATTGATAGATAGAAGTGTTGAGAAGTAGAATATATGAATGAAATAATAAGATTTTCGTGATTTATGAGGCATATTGCAAACACATCCTGTGCAATCAAGACCGATGTTGAGCCATATCACCTTAGCTCCATACGCGGTTCAGTTCAGTCAACATACTTCTCACGTTGCTACAATGTATTATTCGAGTCACTTTGAGTATTTTCCCCTTCTATACTTCAGCTAGTATAGTGTTTTGAAGTAGACGATATCTGTGTGTAATAAGTCATAGCCACTTCAGTCGATAAAGGGTTGCAACCTCATACACTAATTTCTCTGCTTTTTAACCCTATACGCAGGTTCGACATTGTACAACTTATAATCGATGCTTTGAAAGCACTAAGCACTGTTAACCCATATATATAGTTTGGAAAAACTCATTTCGTCCTTCACATCTGTGTATGAAAAATGTCTCTTTTTGTACTAAGTTTTAGTTGTAAAATTAATATCGTGAGTAAAATATGAAACGATTTAAAGATCAGTGCGAATTAGTTCTTTTCCAGTTGAACACCCCATTTTGTTGTTTGCTTATTCTGTTGAATCATTATTTTTAGAATGGTTTTACAAAGTCGTATGTCTCTTGTAAGTATTCTTATTGAAGTCATTGGATTGATAATGAAAATAACGAGTTGACAGATTTCATTTAGTTCATAGAAAGTGTAGTATGTTTTTCTATTACAAGACAGGGTTACTGTATTACCAAGCAAAGAGCACCCATATTACTGGGGTATTCAGGTTATTTTGTTGTCTGGAGTTAATGTAAGATCATTGTTCATGTAACTGTTTTAATTTGATACTACTCTGTCTTTAATTCAACTTGTTCAATGAGTTCTCATGTCTGGCATACATTTATCTATGTATTACTTATTTTTACTTCATATTTTGGGATAAAGGCTTTTATTTTGTATGATCTCGTTAAAATTCAGTTTAATAATTTTCTTCTTACCCCCGCCTTTTTTATTCCAATAATCAGTTTTAATGGCACCACCAAATTTTGGTCTACCTGTTGTCCCTGAGGAAGATATCCATCTTGTATTAGAATATGAGTTGGGGGACAAATTAGAAGGTTTAGTGGCACCCCGTGCAAATCGGTAGGTTAACTGTTGACCACTTCAGGATTGTATTCTGATTTCTGATTTGTGCTTAAACAGTTTTTTAAACTTCTTCAGTATTAGTAAGGCAAATGTATCATCAAGTTTATAATATATTCACTGTAACTAACAATCTGCACTCAATTCTTGATAACAAAACAGTTGTTTATAAAATGCACATCACAGGAGGGCTATAAGTTCATTAAAACGCTTAATATCTACAAACTTGTATTCAGAAATTTTATGTACTTGTTGTATGTATTTCTCGTTTAGTTCTTCCATGTAAACAATAGAAGGAATATCATCAGTCAAAGCAAGACCAATAGAAGTAGAACAGTGACTATTCATAATCATAATCCATCTTTAGACTACGAAGGAATATCTTGTTTTTGTCAAATTAGTGATATCTGAGAATTACAATTTGGTTAGATTTTTAGTCCAACGGATGCGCAGTTTTTCGTTTTACATTTCATTACGTAAGTGTAATACTATTGGTCATGAATGAATTGTAGTTTTTCCTTTTACTTATCATCCCCAGTAACACAACAGCCAACTGTATTTTCGACCGTGTAACTTGCTGCAATTTAACTGCTCAAGTTGTCAGTATGACTAACCATTCACAAACTATCTTCATTTTAATTGTAAAACCCAATTCCGTCATTCTTTTATTCCTCCTCCTTTTTCCCTTTCTTCTTCTTTGTGCTAACGGGAAGCGTAACCACCTGAACCGTTCGTTATGTAGTAAATTTACGTCACATATTGATATTGACTGACTAACAGTTATCCAACCGACTGTTATTTTATGCTAGAAAGGTACCCAATGTGGTGAATAATCTCTCATAAATTTTCCTTCGAGTGTGTGCTTCTTTTGATGGGTGGTTTGACTCTCTCTTTTGAAACTAATTTTCGATAATGCTATCAGAAAATGGTGTATTGTAACAGTGGCAAGGAAATCTGAGACGCAGTTTTTCATAGCTGTACTGTTTCAGTGTGGAAACTTTATCGCGTGAAATGTTGGTAGTCGATCAGTCTGTGCCTTCTCAAACTGTTGTTCACTCACACTTTCATATTCTTCTTTTGGCGGGCCCAAACAGTCAAATTTTTTTTAGTATATGATTATATTTTTGGAAAGATCGGTAGTATCAATCACTATTCCATATTTCTGCAGTCTGTCTGTTTATAAGAATTAAATACACAACTCGATTATTTAGGGATTTTCGAGTTTCATTTTTTAATACTTCCACTTTTCCTCTTAGCTTTTTCAGGATCTGATTGCTATAATGAATAAGCTTGTATACTCATTACAAACTTAGACTTTCTCTTAGTGGTTCACAGTTGAAAAGACATATTCATCGGGACTTGTTAATTAGATTTTCATGGCTGTTGTTATCTCTCCGTCTTCCACACTTGTGCTTGTCTTAATCCCTCTTTTTCAGATTAAGAAATCTTCAATAAGTATCAATCTCACCAAGTTTTACCATCTACATTCAAGAATATAGAATAAATAGGTGCAAAACAGCAATCATGTACAGTTTCGTCTACCAGAATGTCAACTACATGCAGTCTGTGAGCTAAGGGATATTGCAGATAGGGTTGGATTCAAAACCATTATCACTGATCGAAAGTAAAATGCCCAAATCAATACAGCTTAACTTCTGCTCCCATCAAAAACTGTCCTGCTAGGGTTACACAATTTACTCATTCATCTCTAGATTAAGACTAGTAGCTTACATTTCGACCTAAGAATTACACCTACCATGTGTCTGACTGATTGCGCTCCCTAATTTGTTCAAAGTTGTACACGAAATTGTCTGTTGTTGCTGTCAAAATCGCATTTATTTAGTTCACAGAATCACTCCTAGTTTTCTTGCAAAACCACAGCCTATTGTTGGTTTATTTATGGCATTCGTAAATTTGTGTAAGCGAAACTGCTTCACTCCGTTGAGCGTTTTCAGATATCTACCTTTTATGCAGAGTAATGGGTGACACCACTTATTTTTCCTATCCACCATTACTTTCATCAGTGAAGAAAGAGGTAACCACAGAATTTATTAGAATCTATCATTTTATTTTCGATTACGTAGAACCTGTTGTATGTCACCTCAGGTTACTGTGTTTTTCAACGCTATAGCTAAGGAGAAAACGCACGAATAAGACCATATGCGCAGTACAGATTGGTTTGTAGAAAAAGATGAGTAATGAATGAATGTATTTCGGAAGTGGATTACACTGCGCTGCTTTTCCATATGGGATATATGTGTGCATATGTTTACACGCTATCTTACTTTTTTTATTGTGCACCAGTTATTCACTGGCCTAGTTCTATCGTGGACGCTATCTATTTCCATTATGTTCGTATTTGTAGGCCGTTTCCATTTTCTAACATTATAAACCCCATCGGATCATGTAATTCTAATTAATCTCTGTTCGTATTTCGCCTAGTTTTTAACTGTTACCATTGTTGCTATTTCGCAATTTAGGACTTATTGTACTGTATATGAATATGTTTATTTTCTTAGTGCGTTATACAATATTATCTCCTTGAATATTATTCGGACCATTTTCTCAACTAAAAATTCTTTTAAACTCTTGGTTGTATTGTGTTCTCTGATCTGAGTTGTTTAATCGTGAAGCTTTCATCGTCTTTCTAGACAACATCATCAACACTAACTTCAGTATGAAGTGAGCTATCAATATCTCTCCGTGAGGGATTTAGTAGCCTGCCTTGATGAAGTGGTCTGTGATTGGTTGTTTCCCTTGGCTGTTGTGTCGTCGACTGTATAGATTTCCCTATTGGCTGTTCCTATGCTTCACCTCTCACCTTTCTGTCGTTTATCATTTTTCTTATTGGTTGGTAGATTGGGTCTATGTCTATACAACTGTTGATTGCTGACTGACCTGAATGCCAAGCTCCTAGGAATTCTCTGGTATTCTTCGTGTTTCCTCTGTCCAAAATTTCTACATTGTCGAAATTGAATTCATGTCCATAATTATCCACATGCATTGAAATGAGTGACGAAATGTCGTATCGTTTAATAGCCAATCGGTGCTCATGTAGACGAAGGTGAAGAGGGCGACCACTTTGTCCAGTGTAGTGTTGACTACAGTTGTTGCAGTTGATTTTGTAAATGATATTCGATTTATCTTCTTCGGTTGTTCCGTCCTTTGATTTGCATAATAGTCTTTGTAGGGAATTCGTTGGTTTATGAGCCACACCAATTCCGAGTGATCTCAATAATCTTGTCGTGATTTCTGATATATTCTTTATGTATGGTAGGATGATGCGTTCATTGATTTCTGTCGATGACTTTGTAGTTGATGATGTACGGGATAGGGATCTTCTGCTAGAGTCTCGTGGGTAGCCGTTCTCTCCTAGGGTGAACTTCGAATAATTTTCTTCGTTTCTCCTTGTAGTTGTTGTACTGCAGTGTGTTCTCGCTCTTTTGAATAGAGTCTGCACGCAACTGACTTTGTGTTGTTGCTACTGTGGTTGAGGATTTGGTCAGAGTGTGTTGGCTTCCTGCACAACAACTTCACGGAGAAACGAAGAAAATCACTTGATGTCCAACATAAAGAAGAACGGCTACCCACGAGACTTTAGCAGAAGATGCCTATCCCGTACATCATCAACTACAAAGTCATCGACAGAAATCAATGAACGCATCATCCTACCATACATAAAGAATATATCAGAAATCACGACAAGATTATTGAGATCACTCGGAATTGGTGTGGCTCATAAACCAACGAATTCCCTACAAAGACTATTATGCAAATCAAAGGACGGAACAACCGAAGAAGATAAATCGAATATCATTTACAAAATCAACTGCAACAACTGTAGTCAACACTACATTGGACAAAGTGGTCGCCCTCTTCACCTTCGTCTACATGAGCACCGATTGGCTATTAAACGATACGACATTTCGTCACTCATTTCAATGCATGTGGATAATTATGGACATGAATTCAATTTCGACAATGTAGAAATTTTGGACAGAGGAAACACGAAGAATACCAGAGAATTCCTAGGAGCTTGGCATTCAGGTCAGTCAGTAATCAACAGTTGTATAGACATAGACCCAATCTACCAACCAATAAGAAAAATGATAAACGACAGAAAGGTGAGAGGTGAAGCATAGGAACAGCCAATAGGGAAATCTATACAGTCGACGACACAACAGCCAAGGGAAACAACCAATCACAGACCACTTCATCAAGGCAGGCTACTAAATCCCTCACGGAGAGATATTGATAGCTCACTTCATACTGAAGTTAGTGTTGATGATGTTGTCTAGAAAGACGATGAAAGCTTCACGATTAAACAACTCAGCTCAGAGAACACAATATGACGAAGACCATCAACCTGAGCTACAAACATTCTACATTTTTCTTTCGAACTTATTTTAGATATATATGCTCATACACGATGTAGAAAACCCTTTACTAAGTGGTTTATGGCCTGGCTTACTTAAAAGTTGGCAACGTCATGTTTTTGAATCCATTGGTGTAGGAGATCTTGGAACTAAAAACGAAGTACCTATCCCTGATTTGTTTGTGTTAGGAGGATTACAAGTAATGGATAACACTTTGTCACAGGAGGAGACTAGTAAGCTATGATTTGTAGATTATATATTATTGTAAATCTTATTAAATTATGTTGTCTAGTAGCGAAGTTAAATTATTTTTTTTACCGTTCCCATACATTTTACTGCTTTTATCATTAGAGACTTATTCGTTTTCATCAAGCTTTTCGGTGACATCTTTCCTTAATGTTTTATTATTTCTTTGGAATTTTCAAAATTTTCCTCAAGAGCGAAGATTAATTGTCGTGAAATAAGCCTCACAAATAATGCCACCATGTTAATTCGTTTTAACTCATGGTTTTTGTATTTGAAGTCTGTAGTGCATTAAGTGTGGCTGTGTTTTTTCAAGTCCCCTTATCCATTTCCTGAAGCATCAAACCAAGTTGACCTAGCCTTCTTTCTATTGCTGTGAATTTGATTAGCGTTGAACACTACTGCTCCTAAATTTCGTAACAACACTTATTCATTGCAATATAGGTTTAACTCGATTTTAGTCAAGTAGTTTATACGTCGCCAACTAGACGATTGTTCAAGAAATCTGGGGCTCACCTGCATCTTTTTATTTTCGTCTACGTATTCACTGACTACACGTATTATAGCATCCAGAGAATCCTATACAACGTCGTTATGCTAATGAACTTATAGGAATTAATGGTTTATTCTTTCGGTTATTTTCCTAAAAATAACATATTTGAAGGGTTCCTTCCATCTGGCTATGTGCTGATAATATTTGCCGTAGTCTGAGAACAGAGAGACCAAATCCGCATAGAACGTCTCACAGAAGTGCATCGGTTCAAGCTGCCACACTTCATAGCAGCATGCAAAGAATAAGTGGACAAAAAGAAGGCAAAGTTTTATAAGATGAGAAACAATTTGGTGAAAACATTAAAGCTTTGGAAGACGTGAAAGTGTAAATGTTATGCATTTGCGCCATTGTGTTCGATTTCCAGTCAAACTACCAAGCTTCTCCATCCATTGATTCCCACTGTCTCGAGGACCCCAAGCAGACAGTCTACACCTCTCCACGCGCCAAAGATCGGAGTCAGAGACTTCATGGGCTGGTGCCACGTCTTCATATAGCCACTCAAAACTTTATCCAACTTCTCCTAACATTCCATATCGAGCTACACAGCGTAGCAGGATAGGTAGCACATGTTCAAACCATCTCAGTTGCTCAACCTCATCGACCGACTTGTGCCTGCCTTCCCCAATACCCTTCACCCAACCTCTTCATCCCTTACATAGTGATCTTACCATATAGGACCACTGCTACGAAAACAACTATGGTCACAAACCTGTAGTCTCTTCATATCTACTTTTAACGGTGTTGTCTCACAGCCATATAACAGGACAGAACGAACTGTAGCAATTTATACTCGGTTTCTAACGGGTATCTGAATATCCCACCAGTTAAGGAGTAAAATGACGCAAGTTAGCAAACGCCAGATGGACTTTCTGTATCCGAGCTGAGGTTTCAGGAGCAACCAGCCCGTTCGCGTTGATGCAACTTCTTAAGTAGGTGAATTGACCGACACACTCAACCACTCCACTCCCTATCCTTAGACTAGGAGTAATTGCAGATTAATCCTGAAGCATCACTTTACATTTGACAGATACGTGACGCATACCAGGCATACTCAGATTTCTTATCCAGGCTTTGAGAAAACCGTACATTTTGTCAGCAACTTCACTCAACAGTACAATATCGTCTGCGTACTCAAAATCAGCCAGATGACCTCCAGGGTATAGACCAATCCCTGTAAAGTCTGGCATGATGGGACCTTGAGAGAACAAGCGTTCCCTCAGCACGGCTTGTTGGGTCATTGTGATATCCAAACCCGACCACTATATCAAGGTAGCAGCTATCAGTTGGGTAAATCTGAGAACAGATAACTAGGAATGTCGATTGAGCGTTTCTAGTGTTTATTTGCTGAAGTTGTTTGCTGGATATACTTTAAAGTGCTATCCTTTTGCAGAATTGATTATCTCAGAATATGAATCACTAACAACTCACGGATGGCACCGGTACATTCTCTTCGACGATCTCTGAAGGTCTAATATCTGCTTTAATCTTTAGCACGCAACGACTTAACCATTGTTATATCATCCCTTAACATTATATCACAATTACTTACGTTGTACGCCAAAAAATCTCTTCTATCTCCCATCAAGGTCAGCAAATCCTTAAATTTCACAAAGCTGAAGAGTACCTCAATCATTGTATGTGGAGTGGTACTTTTATTTAGTAAAATGATTCTGTAACTTCATCTCAGCAAGTATTGTAATTTTTAGGTCACTAATATTTTTGTAGAAATTTTTTCTCTCAGTTTCCTCTTGTTAAATCATTTCACGTGAACAGGTTACTCAAGTGTTTGTTGCGTACTCTCGTGACCGTAAACTGAATCAATAAATTTTATGGTAATAAGTAATTATGTAGAGCTTATATGAAGACTCACTTCTAAGCTATTACTAAGTTTCTGCTTATTGGATTTTTTTGCCAAAAGGCTACATATCTCTGTAACACTGTAAAATAATTTACGCGGATATTCATATTTTCTATTGTGAAAATGTCTATGAAGCTTTAGTCTGATGAGGTTTTGACGAAACTGTTTATTTACTAAAATTTTTGTCCTCAAATGATTTTGGGATAAAAGAATTTCGCAACTTTCGTTCAAATGTTTGGTAGTTCCAGTCTCTCTTAACTGCATGGTTTACTTGTCTGAAGGAGATTTAAACGAAAAATTAATGGTCTTTTAATAATGGTAGTGTATATCATGAACTCCAGTAACAGTGAAACATCTACGTGAAAATCTGGTTGAGCTAGTCAGCGAATATCAACAGCTTACACTAATGTAGTAATTGCACTGAAGATATTATTTAGTTTGGCTGCAAATATGATGTATCTATACAGCTTGGTTATTCATAATAATAATCATAATCGCTTTATTCTAAACAATGTGTATGACAGTGTAGGATCCTCAGCATGCAATTTTCCAACAGATTCACTCCCAGCACAATACTTTCAGACGAAACGGTTATTACATTGGGATGATGTTAATAATAACAGCATTCAAGGCAATAATGTGAAATAGCCAGCTGGTTCTGGATAGGCATTAGGTCCATAATGAAGAATCAACAGAAATGTAAGCGTAATTTTGGTGGTGGCGCTTCATTGAGACGGTACAAAAATCTGCAACTCAAGCTAAGCATTTGACGCATTGAAATATGTACTTTTTTGCACCGAAAAATCCATTTCCATATAACGTAATATTTTTTCTCTGCTTTGTTATTGGCTTGAGAGACGGAGAGTTGTAAACAGCTTCAAAATGTGCAAGAGTACATGATATGTTCAAAGGACACATTTAAATGATTAAAACAAATTATAAAGAAAGAATTCGATGGAAAATATTCCATGGATAAATTTCGTAGCCCGAATCAAGCAGGCTGCCAAAGTTGTTGACAAATTCCGTGCTGAGAATTCCATACTGTCTTACATATTGTTTGAAATATTCTTCTTATTATTATTTGTCCCTTGGGTTCCTAATGGAACATAAGGCTTCAGCAGCACGTCTCCATTCCACTCTCTTCTCTACAATCTTTCCAAACTGGCTCCACGACTGCCCACAAGCTCTTATTTCTTTCTCATACAATTTCCTCCATCTCCCTCTCGGACGCCCAACTCTCCGTTCCCCACCTTCGTTCCACTCCAGTGCCTAGCTCGTAATGTCTCCAAACGCCTTTTTCAGTGTATGTCCAGTCCAACCCATCTCCATTTTCTTCTGCATATTTGTTGGGCGATAGGTTCTTGGTTGGTTCGTCACCAGCCAAAGCTCCTTGTTCCATATTCTTTCTGGTCATCTGATCTCCAGTAACGAGCGAGCGTAGGCAGTTGTTGATGTATGTCTTTAGTTTGTTGGAAATGCTTTTCGTCACGCGCCAAGTCTCTCAACCATCACATAGAAGCACTGACTTGACATTCGTGTTGAAAATCCAGTTCTTGTTCTTTATGCAGTAGATCTCCACACTGATTTCAGGTTAATGAACGCCTGTCTTACTTCTCCGATCCTGGTTTTGATGTCCTCATCCGTGCCACCACCTGTAGTTGAAACGATGCTGCCTAGGTAGATGAAAGAGGCCACCTCCTTGAAGTTTCTCCCGTTTATGGTGATTGGAGCTTGTTGTTATTGGTGGTGGTGTTGGTTGGGTATCTTCATCACCTCTGTCATCTCTACGTTCACTTGAAGTCCCGTCTTCGCTGCCTCTTCTGTCAACTTGTTAGTTTTCGCCTGTAGATCCTCGAGTTTTTGTGACATTAGACACAAATCGTCGGCGAAATCCAAATCTACTAGGTTCTTTTCCGCGGTCCAATGTATCCCCCTCTTCTCGCTCCTCACGGTTTGTTGCATCATCCAGTCCACCACAATCAGGAAGATCATCGGTGATAGTAGACAGCCTTGTCTTACTCCTGTCTTCACTTCAAAGGCGTCACTGAGCTCAGCTTTCTATTGTGAATCGCCTGGCATGTGGCGTCTTCACATAGTTGTTGAATGAGGCTGATAAAGGTTTGTGGTATTCCGTAGTGTTGAAGCAGTTGCCAAATTACTTCTCGGTCGATACTGTCAAAGGCCTTTTCAAAACCGATGAAGTTGAGGTAGAGGGTTAACTGCCGTTCTATTCTCTGTTCCATGATGATGCGTAGCGTTGCAATTTGATTTGCACATGATTTGTACTTCCTGAAGCCAGCCAGCCAGTCTGTTCCGGTCGTAGTTTTGAATCTAGCGCACACTTTAGTCTCTCCAGGATGATGTGGCTTAATATTTTGCTTGCAGTGGACAGCAGCATGATTCCGCGCCAGTTCTTGCAAAGACTTAGGTCGCTCTTCTTCGGGAGTTTGACAAGGTAACCCTTCTTCCAATCGCCAGGTACCTTTCCTTCCTTCCTTCCGAACCTTCTGTAATAGTGGTGTGAGCATGTCCGCTATTGTCCCTGCGTCTGTTTTCAGTGCTTCTGGTGGAATTCCATC